GGTTCTAAACGACACTGTAGATTTGTGGAACCTCTTCTATAGAAGAGGTTAGAACTGTCAGGAACCCACCCCTGTCTGAGACCCACCATTAGAAGCTATTCAAAAGCATGGAACATTTGCATTTTGGAGTCCGAAACATGAGGAGATGAGACCCAAACTTAATACTTGTCCCCACCGCTGTTCCCTTGCCAATCCAAATAATCTTCCATCTGAAAACAATTCTCATCCTCAGTTTTGTACGTGATTCCCATGTGCTTCAGCAGAGCCCAAAGCAAAAAGATTAGACAAAGGGGGCGGAGGGGAGAGAAAGAGAGAGAGAGAGACTCACTCCAGGCCATTAAAAATTAAAACATTCATTTATTAGAATATTTATGTAAAAAGACTCTCTTTACACAATATTTTATACAATAGATTCATTGCTTTAAACGGCTCCTAGCGGAGACAGTATTGTACATGAAAGCACATAGAGGCTACTGAAGGCCACTGGTTCTCGCTTGGCCTGAAGCAGAGAACAAGAGGCAAAAGCCCAGCTTAATTTAAGAGTACAAGAACTGTGAAAAGCAAGCTGGCTGGGCTCCCTTTTTTGCCCTCCCCCACCTGTGCTGTGCAACGGTCTTCCAGCCCAGAGGAAGGGGTGAGTGCACCAAAGGGGGAGGGGGGAGAGAGAGAGAGAGAGACGGGAGCTCGTCGCTGTTTGGATGGAAGGGTGCACTGGTGTGTAAGGAGCCCTCCCAGAGGGGCCCGGATGGTGGCCAGACGAACAGGCAAAATTGCACAACACCATTTTCCACAAGGCAGACACTGTATGGCTAAAAAGGCACAGCACAGGGGCAGAGGGAGGAAACGCCCCCTTCGGGGTAGGGGGTGGGGGGGTAGGGTAGGGTAGGGCCGGAGGAAGAAGGGACGGCTATGTACTACTGAAAAAAAATCAGCAGGCACTAGCATGGCTCTGTAACAGGGTATACGATCCTTGTTGAACAAGCTTTCCATGAGACTCAGGAATAAACCAGAGTTAGTGTCTACCGTGGAGAGCAGATACCAAAGATGCGCTGACTTCTTATGAGTCCCCTCCCTCACCAGAGGTTTCAACGGACACACTCTTCACAAACAAATCAGCAGGCAATTTTTTTTTCTTGGTTTGGAATACCTGGACAGAGAGATAAAAGCGGGGCAGGACGATAGCCCTATACCGAAGAGGATTGGGGTCCTGCTCCCTTTGAAGAGCTGTGCTACACCTCCCTATCCAGAGAGAGCAAGAGCAATAGCGCTTAGACATGTATACCGCTTTACAGCCCCCCTCTAAGCAGTTTACAGGGTCGGCCTATTGCCCTCAACAATCTGGGTCCTCATTTTACCCACCTCGGAAGGATGGAAGGCTGAGTCAACCTTGAGCCTGGTGAGACTCAAACTGCCAAATTGCAGGCAGCCGGCAGTCACCAGAAGGAGCCTGCAGTACTGCATTCTAACCACTGCGCCACCACGGCTCATATTGTAGAAACTGCAATACTCCCCAATCCCAGAGGTCTCCACATGTTAGGGACCACTCCTCTTGTCTGTATTTTGTCACAGAGAGTAAGAGCTGAGGCTGAGAGGTGTTGGACCCAAACATCTGGAGACCCAACCATGTTGAGGAAAGCAGAAATAGATGCTACAATCTTACCTCTTTCCCGGACTTTCCCACTCTCTACTTCTTCTGGTCTAAGCCACGGGGACTATGTAAAACCCTGAACAAGGAAGGTTATCTTTGGCTAAGAGCCACCACAAAGAAGTGGCAGATTATAGTCAAGGTCATCGTGGACCATAATCAAGTTGGTTGACTATGGAAAGGAGCATTGTTAAATGCTTTTCCATATAATTAAACATCTTGCGTGTCATTGGAAGAAAGCAAGGCCGAGAAGAACCTTCTTCCCCAACGTAGGGATTTTCTACATGCAGAACTTTTATTCTCTATCGCAGGGAAGCATTCTATCGTGTCGATAGTTGCCCCCCTGCGATCTGAAAGTGGTAGGGCCCAGTCTGATTACAGTCTCATTCAGGGGTGGGATCCTACCAGTTTAACAACCGGTTTACTGTTTAGAAAAGACTCACCTTCTGGATTGCTGCTTGGGAAGGAAAACAGCTGAGGTGCAGCAATCTATTCTGCTGCGCGATTCAGTGGTGAAGATAAAGGTAGGTAAAGCGCAGGGGCGGGGGCCGGGGGCAGGCCCATTTACTAATGGGAGCGAACCGGTTCGCTCCCAGCTGATCTTCAGAGCTATTGGTTCGCCCAAACCGGTCCGAACCGGTCAAATCCCACCCCTAGTCTCATTCAAATTTTATGTTTTAGACTAAAACAAAACAGGAACGAAGCAGGAACAAGCATTCATCTCCTCCTTATTGCAAAGGATTCAAGAGAAGCTGCTTGCTCCGCAGGCCACTCCATCTGTTTTTAGCAGCCCAGACCCTGATATAAAAACCTGTTTCCTGCCATTTCCAGCAACGTGAGCCTTGCTATTACATATAAGTGTTAATGTATTTATCCCTGACTCTGGAATAACCATGGCACAATTCAAACATGATTTGGAAGGAGGGGAAGGAGAAGAGAGAGGCTGAAGTCTCAGAAACCAAGATGGAGACAAACATTATAAGAAGAGAAACTGGACAGCCATTTGTCTAAAACGGTGTAGGGTCTCCCGCTTGAGCAGAGGGGGTTGGACTAGAAGACCTCCAAGGTCCCTTCCAGCTCCATTCTGATTAGATCTCAGCTTATGACAGCTGTAAGTCAAGGATGACCTTTTATTGATTAGAAGGCCACCTTCTTGAAAGAAGATGCCAATTATGGAATAAAACGAATGAATGATGGAGAATGAAGACTGGATGGGAGAGCAGAGTAAACCCAGGTAGCACCGAGGACCAGAAAAGAGAAGGATGGGGAAGAAAAGACAGAATTATTCTGACTGAGATGGGTATTGATAAAAGGAGAGAAGACGAGATAGCATCTCATCTTCTCTGCGCCAAATATTGCTAGATGGTAAGGCTCAAACCAGTCACCTAATACCGGTATTTGTTTCATGCTCTCAACTGACAGGCAGGGAAAAATTGAAGCATTTTAGACAGAGAGACAGACAGACAGACAGAGAGACAGAGAGACAGAGAGAGAAACAGAGACAGAGAGACAGACAGAGACAGAGAGACAGAGAGACAGACAAAGAGACAGACAGAGAGACAGAGAGAGACAGAGACAGAGACAGATAGACAGACAGACAGACAGAGAGAGAAACAGGGAGAGAGACAGTCACAGAGAGAGACAGAGAGAGAGAAAGAGAGACAGACAGACAGACAGACAGACACACACACACACACACAGAACCTGTGTCATAAGCATACTATCACTGTCCCCAAATGTAGTAGAATAGCTCCTCAGTGACATCCTAGTGTCTTCCACGGAATTTAGCAACTTTCTCTTCAAGAAAGATTACTCTGTTGTTAAAAACTAAAAATAAATAAATTAAAGCAACCCTTTATGTACAACCACGTATTCATCTTTGGTCAAAACCTGCCTTTGGAGTTGCACGTTGGCTGTGTTAACACAGGTTTTAACGGAAATCTCCCAGTTTCAGGCAAGGACAATCAGGAGTGAGTCAGCCAAGAGAAGGACACACACACATCGGAGGGACCTTCACCCTGGCGCCCTCCAGATGTGCTCAACTGCAGTGCTATCATTCCCTGTGAGAAGAGTGGCCCAATCCACTTGCAGAACCTTCATCAGCTCCTCGTTTGGATGGCCAGTTACCCAATCAGCTAAATGGAGCGCTGGACATCATGTGCCCAGACCACCTTAGCCATAATTCAAAATTGGTACAAGAGCAATCTTTGGTTACGGTTAATTTGCTCATTTGTATTCAAATAAAATGGGGGGAAACCCATTAAAAGCATAAAATAAGGCAAAACTCATGATGCTAGATTTGGAACCCCAACAATTTGGAACAGGGGTCTCCAAACTTGGCAACCTTAAGCTTTGTGGACTTCAACTCCCAGCATAGCTGGCTGGAGACTTCTGGGAGTTGGAGTCCACAAGTCTTAAAGTTGCCAAGTTTGGGGACCCCTGATTTAGAACAATTATTGATGGCTTATGGGGTTTAAAAAGAAGCCCACAAAAATTAAAGAATAAACTCTACTGCTTAGAAGAAAAGATGGAGGAAACATGGCATTAGAGCTGAGGATGGAAACTACATGTATGGAAGCCACTGGTCAACCAGTGGCTCAGCATGTGTCTATGACCATCCAATACCCATGCAGGATATCCTGCAGCATCACTTGAATATACCTGAGCACCCAACGGTCCTCAGCTCTTCTGCGGTATTTCGAAACTGGGCGGAGGGAATTATAGCAAAGATGTTTCTCTGAAGGAAACGAGAAGGTGCAGTTGCCAGGGGAGAAGGCAACAGTGAGTCAGAGCATGCTACTATCCAGGAGGAGATCATCTCTGGATAGAATGGTTGGCATTCCCGACCTTGGATATGGAATTGGGGCTACTTCTAGATCTATTGCCTCCAGCCACAAAATATGCTCCATTTAGAGGCTCTCTGCTGCCTTCTAGCAAAGCTCCAGCATTGAAGAGAAGGAGACAGAGAAGAGAAAGACACAAAGAAATAGAGATTGCCATAACTGTGTGTGTGTGTGTGTGTGTGTGTGTGTGTGTGTGTGTGTGTGTGTAATTTGCACAGGAGTGCAAGAGCCTCTCCTACAGGTTAGGTCTAGTAGTGCATAGCGGAGCTTACTGCCCTTTGGGGATAAAGGGCTCCCCCTCTTCAGGATCTGGCCGAGGCCCTGGATCACTCAGGCATCTCATAATCCGTTGGTTGCTGGGACTGTCGCCTGTCCCAGGAGTAAAGACGTCGTCTGTGCCTGGAGAAGATGACTCCTTGACCTTCATTATCAGCCCCTCCTCATCTTCATCTTCCTCTGGGGAGGGGGGAAGGTAGTTCGTGCCTTTCAGGGTCTCGTTCACCAACTCAACCGACTCCGGCGACTGGGGGGACGCTGGGTCAATGGTTATGGTGGGGACGTTGTCAGAATCCGGCTTCGGGTCATAAGCGAGAGGGTCTACGGAAGAAGGCAAAGATAAGCGGAGTTGAAAGAAAAAGCCACTCAAGTAGCAGAATCAATTTTCTCTCTTCCAATCATCACCTTCATTTTACGACCGCATAAATCTCTTGCGGGGTGGAGTCTGGACGACTGAATGGAGCTAGCAAAGTGTTTTAATGGCCAGATGCTTTTCTTGTCGCCAAGGCAGAGCTTTGTTCGGCAGATATATTCTCATTGCAGAGAGAGAAATATCTGCCTCTACCAGAGGTGGGTTCCTACCTATTCGGTCCGGTTTGGCTGAATAGGTAGTATCTCCGGTGGACACGTGACCATACCGGTTCTATGATCGGCGGCGGCATCTTGATTTTCTGTTCCGCACATGTGCAGAACAATCTTCATTTTTAAAAAATCTAATTTTCATTCATTTTTTTAATGTTGTGTGTATGCACAGATCGTTTTAAAGGAAAATGCGCACGCACGTGGAGCATGGCTCTGGCGTGCATGCAAACTTTTTTTTTACTACTAAACCAGTAGTAATGGCGGCTGGAACCCACCCCTGGCCTCTACCTCCTGATAGTGAAGGGAGATTTCCACCTCTAGGCCACTGCATCACTCCCCAATTTTCTCTGCTCCAACTGATCAGGAGAATCATTTTCCCAATTATAATGTTATACTAACTACTGTGAGGCGCAAGGAACCAGAACAATACAGTGAGCTGACAAGAAAGTTTCTTTACTACTGCTTGCTTATTTAGAAGAATATCCTCAGTCTTAACTCCACTCTCTTGGGAACAACTACATATCAGAGATTTTTGGGGGGAGGGGGGATATCCCCCCATCACTTCCTCCCATGCAGGGACATCCAGCTCATCAGTCTCATAACACCCACGCCCCCACTCTGCCCCCTAATCTCTCCACTTACCTGAACCAATGCGTGCCCTTGACATGGTTGGGGAATCTATTTTATGTGTTGGCACTGTCAGATAGTTGTTCATCTGGAATCAGAAACACACAGGCATGCGTTTAAAAAAACGCCCACTTTCAGGAGGTTCAGCCCAGTTCAGATTTCCGGAGCATCCTTTATCTACAATAGCATCAATTTAGAAGAGGCAAGAGCCCCAGACAGAGGGAGTAGTTTGAAATGTGTGTTTGTGTGTATATATGTATCAGTGTATGTAAGAGAGTGTGTGTGTGTGTGTGTGTGTGTATTTCTGTGTGTTTTTGTGTTTCTCTGTGTATAAAAGATAAAGGTTCCCCTTGCACATATGTGCATTTGTTCCCGACTCTAGGGGGCGGTGCTCATCTCCGTTTCAAAGCTGAAGAGCCAGCGTTGTCTGTAGATGCCTCCGTGGTCATTTGGGCAGCATGACTAAACACCGAAAGCGCGCGGAACGCTGTTACCTTCCCACCAAAGGTGGTTCCTATTTTTCTACTTGCATTTTTTCATGCTTTCGAACTGCTAGGTTGGCAGAAGCTGGGACAAGTAATGGGCGCTCACTCCATTATGCGGCGCTAGGGATTCGAACTGCCGAACTGCCAACCTTTCTGATTGACAAGCTCAGCATCTTAGCCACTGAGCTACCGCATCCCAGTTCTGTGTGTATAAATGAGGTTATTATGAATGACGTGTTTTGATTATCACTTTTGGAAAATTTAGCTGATCAACAAAGATGGATCTTGAAGTAGTTGCCAGTCACTGAAGACCCTTTCTAGAGGATCTAGAACAGGGATGTTAAGATCTGGCCTGTGGGGCCACCCTGGAAACAGAGCCCAAGGTGGCTCTGTTTTCACTGGCAGATGGTTGCAGCTGAAAATAGAGGTCAGGAGCCCATTTTCGCTGGCACAGGCGTCCCCAACACATGTGACGTTGAGCTGGCCACACTCAGCCTGGCCTCCTGAGGTCAAACCTGATGTGGCCCTCAATGAAATCAAGTGTGATACTCCTGGTCTAGAATCTCCCAAGATCCCTTCTCCCGCCCTTATCCCAGATTCTACCTTCCCACCCCTTCACCTTATGTTCCAGCTGCCGAGCCTTCTGTCTTCTCAGCAACATCTGGTTCCAGGCTTCTTCATAAGGATCTGCTACCAAGGTGTGTCTATTATATGACCGCAACTGGAATGGAAAGCAGAAGAGGTTAGACTGAGAGGCAGATGCTCACTGCCTGTCTAAAAAATATGACTTCTACAACAAATCTCTAGGAAAATCAACACAATTGACTCCAGGATGTAATTCAACAAATTAAAAGGCAGGCAACGATGTTATAGAGCATTGCACACCAGAACAACTAGACACAAGGACAGTTTTTCCCCTGCATGCCATCACTCTGCTAAACAACTAATTCCCACAACACTGTCAAACTATTCACAAAGGCTGTATTACTATTATTCTTCTCATTCTTCCTACTGCCTATCTATCTCCTTTTCTACTTATAACTATAACCTTGTTGCTTGTATCTTGACAATTTATATTGTTTTATTTAGTTCCCTAGTATGAATTTGATTGCATATCTTATGATTCTTGATGAATGTATTTTTTTTTAATGTACACTGAGAGTTTAGGCACCGAAGACGAATTCCTTGTGTGTCCAATCACACTTGGCCAATAAAGAATTCTATATTCTACAAGCAGCCTTCCAAATGCTTGTAACACCCATCAAAGAATCCACAGCCATCAATAATGACAGGAAATGAATCCATTGACATTTGGCAGGCTGCTGGTTGCCTATTGTGTATGTTATTAACCATTGCTCGAAGCACATCCTGACAATCCTTTCTACCCACTACCCCAAAGTCCATCTCATTATCTCTTTCTTAGCCCATGGACTGACAGGAGGTTAACAATGATCTCTCTTCATTACTGAACAACGTTTCTGCTTGCGTGGAAGATCTAAAGCGGGAACGAAAAAGCACAGGAAGAGAAGAATCTACTACAATTTTCTTTTTAAGTTGGCTGGGAAAAGGTCCTTGTGCTTACCCTCTGCCTGGTTTTTTGCAAGTTGGTGCGCAGGATCTTTCGAATCTCCTCCTCTTTGTCCTTGGACAGAGCTGGCAAAATGCGTTCGATCGGCAAAGTTTTTGGATTGATATTCCTGCAAAGTGAAAAGGAGTTGGTTGCTGCCTTGGGGAAGGGCAAATGGGAAAGGCTCTCTAAGCAGGAGCTCCAGATTCTTTGGATAGAACCAAACATGCAAAAAGACAGAACAATTAAGAATGAATCATTCCCCATTAGAGAATAGTTCTCACTTCGCATCCGCTTTTGGGATTATCATTAAGCACTTCGGTTGATAAGTGGAAAGCCGTGTGACCGCAACAGGCTTATGACCTCACTTCCCCTTCAGTGGTTAAGCAAAACATCATGTGACTATAACTTCCTATTTTACTTCCCCCCTTCTCTCTATTAACTCTGCTTGTTGCAAGCAGGTTGTGAAGCAGGGGAATAGTTAACACACAACCTCTGGATGCTCAACAGTCATAAATGGAGGATTGGTCCCAAAGCTTTGTCTTATACCATTGTGACTTTGAATGAATAGAGTAGGGTAGGATAGGGTACGGTAGGGTAGGGTAGGGTAGGGTAG